TCCCTCACACCCCCTCCATCCCCCCTCCTCTATCCAGCCCCACGGGAACCCCTCCTCCCTCACACCCCCTCCATCCCCCCTCCTCTATCCAGCCCCACGGGAACCCCTCCTCCCTCACACCCCCTCCATCCGCCCTCCTCTATCCAGCCCCACGGGAACCCCTCCACCCCCACACTCCTCTACCCTCCCACACCCCTTCTCTCCATCCCGCCCCCAGTGTGCATTTCGTCCCCCCGCCGCACTCCCCTGGCTGGCTCTGCTCCACACCCATTAGCTGGCACCGGGGCTGCTCCAGGCAAGGGAAGAACCTGACCCTGGAGCTGCTCGGAGCGAAGGACGGAGTCAGCCCAGAGCCGTTGGGGGCCCCTTGGGCCAGACTTCCCAGCCGGACTGTGCACACAGGGGGAGCCCCCACCCACTCTCTTACCTGCCCTAGGGCGGGAGGCAGTGCCTGGCTGGCTCAGCGGCTGTGGGAGCAATGCAGGGATCCCCTGGGTCCAGGGCTGGGAACCGCCTACACAGCGAGTGTGAGAGGCTGGCTCAGAGCAGCCCATGGCAGGGGAACGAGAAACACCCCCCGCCATGGGACAGAGCCACCCACCCCTGGGCTGGATCTGGAGTCACTCCTGATTGCACTGGGGGCAGGGAAGGCCGGGTTCTGATCTCAGCTCCCCGGGATCAATCCGGAGTCACCCCGATCTCAGCTCCCGCAGGGTCAATCCAGAGTCACCGCTGACTGCATTGGGGGCAGGGCCGGGTTCTGATCTCAGCTCCCTAGGGTCAATCTCACCCCCACATACAGATCAAAACGAATGATGCTGCGGATCTCCGAGCCCGTCTCCCGATTGCTGGTTTTGCTAACAATTCCTGCCCTCCCGCGCCCGTCACCTGCTGCCAGGCCTGGCCCAGAGCCAGGGACGCTGGGAGGAAAACAAGCCTCCTTAAGGAGCTTGCTCAGCTGCCAGCAGCCCTGTGATTAGACTAATAAGTGGGTGAGCGGCATCTCCCACCTGGATGCCTGGGTTCCACCAGCGCACCTGTTAGAGAGAAATCCGCGGCGCTGCCAATTGGCAGGGTTTGGGGTGTTTTGCATAGAGCCCCGAGCAGCTGGAGTTATGGGAAAACACAGGAGAAAGTCAGTTCCCGTTGAACCCGCCGGGACTTTTGTGGGGTCCCAGGGCCAAATTCTGGCCACAAAGACACAAAAAGCTAAAGGTCATGAAAATGGCATGAATGGGTCAGAGAGAGTCACTGACACAGCTGTTTGGATAACTCCCAGCCCCCTGCTCTAACCACTCACCCCCACTCCCCTCCCAGAGCCAGGGAGAGAACCCAGGAGTCCTGGCTCTCAGCCCCCCCGCTCTAAACACCAGACCCCACTCCCCTCCCAGAGCCAGGAAGAGAACCCAGGAGTCCTGGCTCCCAGCCCCCCGCTCTAAACACCAGACCCCACTCCCCTCCCAGAGCCAGGGAGAGAACCCAGGAGTCCTGGCTCCCAGCCCCCCGCTCTAAACACCAGACCCCACTCCCCTCCCAGAGCCAGGGAGAGAACCCAGAAGGCAGGGGA